ACAGGGTGGAGGGGGCCGCAGGGCCACAGCAGCTCATTAGCAGCAGGACCTTTGTAAGATGCCAGCATGATTGAAAACGAGTTCGGCCTTGTTTGCTTGGGGTCCTTCAGATGGAGGGGGCTTCTGATAAGTCCCCACAGAGGGATCACTCAGTGTGGCACCATGTCTGGACTCACAGCCAGGACCCTGGGGGCTTTGCCTGCATCCCCACCAGCCATAGTAACCCCAGAGGATGGCAAGCTGGTTCCTGCTCACCTACATCCCTCTTGAAGGGTGCTCCGCTGGCCTTCCCTGGATCAGGAAAGCCACCCAGCAGCTCATGCATGGTATGAGGCATCCAGCCTCAGAAAACCATCCCCTCCTGGGGGCTTTTGGGGTAGAAATGAAGAAGTCCAGTCCCACATAGACTATAGGACTTGGCTAAGGCCTCTTGGCTAGCAAATGCTGAACTAAAACTGCATAGTGGTTTGTCACTACAGCTCTCATATCTGCCTTGGCCGGGCAGGGGCATTTGGAAGAACATAAACATCTCAAGGTGCAGTTCCTATCCAGGAACGCTGAGAGCTTTTTCAGACTTGCTGCATGACTTAGGATAAGTGACTTCACCTCTCTGGGCCCAAGATTCCTCAGCTGTGAAACAGGCATGATGATACTGCCTAGCTCATAAGGTTTTTGTGAGAAATAGAAAGGACAGTCCAGTCCATGGAAGCTTCTGGCAGTTTCTGGCATGTGACATGCTCTATCCAGGTGTCTCTTGTAACGACTGTCATCAGCAGGAGCCACTGTGGTCCACTTGCCACATGTCCTGGACCACATCACATCTAAATCCATTTACTGTGATGGGGACATTTGGAGACATCCGTTCGTCTTCAGGTCGGCAGACTGGATCCACAAGCATGTCTTGGTGTCTCTCATTTGTATCCCATTGTGGTCACTTACATTGTCTCCTTCAAAAGTGGCCTCGTGACAATAGGTGTGTGCTTCTGAGAAGACACAGCACTCTTGGGCCTTCAATCCCTTCCTTGCTGGGGGTCCTTCACCTTGACTTTCTTCTCTTTCACCTGTGATTCTTGCTGGTGGCTTCCTAGAGGTGGCCCAGTCTCCAGTTCACCGTCCATGGAGTAAGACTATGGGCACCTTTGGTGTTAGGTGACGTCAGTGCCATGGCTGTCCAGGAAGGGGCCAAGTGGGAGGGGTAACAAGTGATCACCTTTGGGGCTTATGGAGTTCAAGGTTGCATCGGGTATATGGACAGAAGGGCTGATGGACACATGGACAGTAAGCTGTCCAAGGACTCAGAGGCCTCCTCTAGTTGGTTATTTGTCTCTGCTTTTCTTTTTTCCTTCTCCATGTGAAACAGCTTCACTGAGAATCTGTTACCTCATCAGCTCTTGGAGAGGAGGAACCTGATTTTGAATTTCTTTGTAGCCCTCTTCAGGGCTTGGGCATTGATTGCAATTGATCCAGACTTCAAGACAGCTTGCCTGCCAACAGTCCTCTTTCACAAAAAGGATTGTTTATTGTTTACTGAATAGTTATTGGAAGGAAATTCTGTCATTTCTGAGACCCAGATCTGATTCTGTGTTGCTAGAGGGCACACACAACACCCCAGCGATGGATTTTGGCAGTTTTGCAGTTTATGCAGTGGGCCATCCCCTCCTCACTGCTTGAGCATCTTTCACATCTAGAATCTGTTCTTTTGTCTTCACAAACTTCTAGGTTATTTGCAGCCTGGGAGACTGGTGTGGAGGCAGACAATGTGTCTGGTTCTTTATGTTCCATGGAGGCACAGGAAGCCAGGCTCTGAGCTGACAGCTCCCTTTTTTGGCTGTTGCTGGACCGCAGAGAGCAGGATGCCTGGCATCATGGCACTGAGCACTTTGCAAGAATGAGGGGTCCCTTACACACCAGCCCCGCTGCAGGGTGCAAGACATGTATGTAAATATCCTCAGGGTGTCAGGCCACAGCGGAAACTGGCTTATCCTCATCCACACTTCTGCTCCCTTCCTGGGTTCATCTGCCTTGTAAGACATTGACTTTCTGATTAGAGTAGCATCCATGCCAGAGTCTGAGCCTGCTCCGTACAGAAAATGCTTAGAACATCAGTTTGCCCATCTTTCTATTTATCCAGCATTGATGAGCATCTTCTCTATATATGAAACAATAAGCTGGACATACAATGTTGTGGTATAGATCTAAAACATCCCCCAAAAATCTCCATTGAAAAGTGGGGTTTTGGAGGATACTGGGTCATGAGGACTCTGTACCCATCAGAGGATTTGTCCATGGATGAGTTCAGGGCTGAATATGATGTCAGAAGCTGGGGCTGCTTTGAGGCTGGTGACTGGGGTGTATTCTTGTCCCTAGCTCCTCCCTTTTGTCTCTGCTTCCTGGAAACAGTGACATGAGCACTTCCTCTGCATGCTCTTTTGCTCTGCTATTTCTGCCTTGGACCCAAATGCTTGAGACCCCGAGGCCCGAAGCTCCAGGGCAGGTGACTGTTAGCCGGGCAACATGGGAGCTCTGGCTGTGCAGGGAGCAGAGTCCTGGGTGGGTCCTGGGGAATGGGTCTGAGTTGAGGGAAAGCTCCAGGAGCCAGTCCATGGTCACTGAGGATGCACAAAAGGGAGCGAAGAAGCCAGGATGGAGAATGAAGGTAGCAGCCAGGCAGATTGCAACTTTGTCAGAGAGAACTTTAGCTTCTCCTGGAGCTCTCCAAGGCTCTGTGTCACCTGATCCTTAACAGAAGCCTGGAGCTGGGTGCAGTGTGGTCATTCTCCAGGTTTTTATTTTGTTTTTTGCAGCACTAGGGATCGAACCCAAGGCTTTTGCACCAATTTACATTTCCAGTCTTTTATATTTTATTTTTTATTTTGAGACAGGGTCTCACTAAGTGACTAAGTTGCCCAGGCTGGGCTTAAACGTGCAATCCTCCTGCCTCGGCCTCCCAGAGTGCTGGGATTACGGGTGTGCACCACCACGGCTGGGTCATTTAACAGTTTTTCAGATGGAGAAACTGAGCTATAGAGAGGTGATGTGAGTTGTTGGCCCAGGGTCACGTGCCCCCTGTGTAGCATTGCACTTCTCACTGCTTAAATCCCCAGTGACTTATTCTTGGCCACCTGGACCCATGACGGGTCAGGACTGAGGACTCCATACCCTGAAGACTTTTCTGTTTCTCTCATGAGTAAGAGGACGTGTCCACTCCATCCTGAACTGCAGCCTGCCCTGTGGCCTGTGGGTGGAGAAGGCGTTGGGGGCAGTGCCATCTTCTTCGAAGTTTCGAGGCCCAGAGGCTGATCAAAGCCTTGGTCCACAGAAAGCAGCCCGGCATTGAGCTGAGGGGCTTTGAGCTCGAATGTACACAGCCTGCTGAGGAACAGGCTGAGCTGGGGCATCTGCAGGATCGCCAGGCTCGGGATTTAGGAAGGGCCCCGAAGGACCTCTAACATGCCCTCATCCCCCATCACCACCCCATCAATGAGATGCTTCCCAGCAACAGCCCGGCCGCCTGTCAGCAGCCCTTCTAATCTCCCTGGCATCCCCCAGAAGTGGATTTACAGTGACAGCATAAAAATGAGGCTGCATGATCAATGGATCCCTGAACGGTCTCCTCCAGGAGACACGAAAGTATATCGTAACAAAACTTTATTTTCTTCTGAAAATTGCCTCCATGATTAATAAGGCCTGACACAGCCCAAGCTGTTCAGCATAAAAAACAGCCATATCTCTCACGGCTCCCTCTTTGGCACTACATCCCTCTCACTCCATCCCTCTGTCTCCTTTCTTTTGTTTTGCTCTGCATTCTGTGTCATCTCCATGGGAGAAGCATGCATTAAAATGTGCAAATCTCCTTACCTCAGTCTGCTTCCTTTCTACTTGGTATTTCTGACGTGGCGTGAAAGTCTTCGGTGCTGTCTGCCTGGAGTCCGGGTGCTTCTGTACTGAGCAGTGGAGATTAGGCTCCCCTACATCACCTGGAGCCCCAAGAGGGCCCCATGGCAGGAGAAGGAGTTTGTCCTTGAGACTCTACCTTCGCGCATGTGTGGGAGAGCGGCTAGCTACTAAAAAGCAGGACTCCAGCAAAGGGCTGCTCCTGCCTGCAGAGAGGGTCTAGGAGGGCTTGCTGCACAGTGAGGTGGGGGCAGCACTACAGTGCCAGCCCATTTTGTTATTTTGAGATGGGGTCTGTTTAAATCACTGTGTTGCCCAGGCTGGGTTTGAACTTGGCAATCCTCCTGCCTCAGCCCCTCAGATTGGTGGAACTACAGGTATGTGCCACCACACCCAGCCTGCCTTTATGCTGGTGTTTGACATGCTTGGTTTATTCCCTCTTCTAGAATAGCAGCTCTGTGAGGAGTTGCTCTAGCATAGTACCCTGACCTTAGTTTGGATTCCGCCCAAAACAAGAAGATTTGGGTGCAAATACATTATGTGGGACGTGAAAGCTTTGTAGGGGAGACAGGACATAAGACCACAGGGAAAGGAAGATGTCCCCCAAACAGTACGGTAGGTTGTTACTGTGGGTGCTGGGCCTTAATCCTGCTGGGGTATTTAGAGGGAGCCTTCTTCGGGGGCAGTGGAGCTGGGGTATTTATCCATCAACTCCCAGTGATCTTTAGACAGAGCTCTGTGGGCAGGGTGATGGCTTAGGTGGCAGGAAAGAAGGTTCCAGATGAGGAAATGCAAGTGCTGGGGGTAGAATTTAGCAGGGCACAAATGATGCAGGTCGGTGCAGGGGGATGTGTGCTCCAGATGGGTCTTTACCCTTCCTCTGTGGGGATGGGGGGATATAGGGGAAGTAGGATCCTTTGATGCTGTCCTCCCTGGGTCCCTGGGGCCCATTCTCAGGTCTTCCCAGGGAGATCCTGAGAGAGAGAGAGAGCTGATCTTCTTGCCTTGGGAGAACCCCCTTAAGGATGCAGATGAAATCTCTCCCTGTGTCCACAGCAGTGTTACCTTCAAGCTGCCTCTAACCGGCTTTCCTGCTCCCTCCCCAGGTGCAAGGAGCTCAAGTACTCCAAGGAGCTGCCCCAGATCTCCATCATATTTATCTTCGTGAATGAGGCCCTGTCGGTCATCCTGCGGTCAGTCCACAGCGCCGTCAATCACACGCCCACTCATCTGCTGAAGGAAATCATCCTGGTGGATGACAACAGCGACGAAGGTATGGGGGCTGCGACCCGCGTGCAAGCTTATGCAGTTAGCAGGACAGAAGAGCCACTTTCCTTCCCGGAGGCTTGGAGAAAGGGAGCAGTTTTAGAGGAAGAAGTCACGGGAGACACTGGTTCATTATTCCTCCAGTGCTCTTAAGAATGAATACATTGCTAGGCATGGATCTAGATCTATTTCCCTTTTCACATCACCTAACGCAGATAATAGAGAAGGGCTGAATTCTCCCTCCAACCACTGTTTTTTCCTAAGATGTAAATAAAAAGTTTAGTCCTGTGTTGAGAACTGTTCATCTTGAATCAAAATCTCTCCCAGACTACTGTCCCCAAAACGATGCTAGGTAGAGATGAGAGGCCTTTGTGAGTCTTTTGGAATTCAGCACTACTCAGGAACAGTGGATCAATGAAAAAATATAGAAAGCAAAGATTGGGTGGCAATAACAACACTCCTCAGAGGTCCCGGGGGACTGCCAGACAGCAGTGTGGTGTGGAGGTGTGGTAGAGGCTGGCATTGTGCCCTGTGCCCTGTGTTGGCTCATAGCCTACACAATGCACTGTGCTTGAAGTGGGGAAAAACATCATAAGCTCACAAAAGTCACAAAAGCCAGAGAGCAAGCCTTCCTGAAGGCCGAAAGGCTTATCCCCTGAGTAACTGCAGAGTTGGGAGTGGGCCATACCCCAGGCTGTCAGAGCTGAGGAGCAGAAGGAGGCTCTCGCTACAGGAGAGAAAGTGAAACAGTAGTTAGGTACGGGTCCTGTTTACAGCTAGATTATTTTCAGGAGTGTGGAGCTGAACTTCACACATTGGAGCTGATGATCTCATACCCTTCTGAACTGTCATTTGTCCCCAAAGGCCTCAGTACACGTGGTCCCAGAAATATACATTTGCCAGGGCCTCCAGTCTGTGAGGACTGGTCTTTGGGTTCATTTCACACCCCTATCTTCTCCCTTTGTATTAGTCATATTCTTGCTGAGACACAACACCAAATTCCCACAATATAAAGGAGGAGATGTTTAATTTGGTTCATGGTTTCCGGGGATTCAGTCCATGGTAAGTAGAAACATCATAGTGGAAGGAAGAATGTAGTAGACCAAAGGCGCTTAGTTCCTGGCAGTTGGGAAGCATAGCAAGGAACAGAACCAGAGAGGAAGGGGATCAGAGACTAAATATAGTCCCCAAGGTTACACCTTCATGACACACCCAGAAGTGTGCTTTCTTAATCCTTTGGACAATTCTTCATCTGTCAAGTTGATGTATTGTGGTTACCGGTCACAGCCTTTATCTTGAGCCATTTCCTTGTCTGTAGATATTAAGCCTAACATGAGTGGTCTTCTTGTGAGGAAGAGAGTCTGAGTGTTTCGAGTCTTTTAGCTTGATGAGCCTGGCTCGCTGCCCCCTTCTCTGCAGCCCTTTGAACACCTTCTACAATCCCCTTACCTCAACAGTGCTTCCACCCCTCAAGGCAGGGAGTGATGAAGCTAGGTAGGGTTAGGAAATGACAGCAGGGGACAGGCCACAAAGCAAAGTAAGAAAGGCAGGATGAACTGTGGGCAGGTTGATTCATAGTAAGCACTCACTGCCAGGGTATTTCTCCCAGGAAGTCTCCACAGAGCCCAGCCAGAGAGGAGTGGAAGGTGAAGGCAGTCTCATCTGGAACCCCACCTCTATGAGAGACAGCAGGGTGTGTGCTACAAGTTGGGCATTTAGTACATTCAGTAGGTATCTTAGTTTGGTCTCCCCCAGAAATACACTCTGAAACAAAGGTTTAAGTGCAAGTAGTTTATTTGGGAAGTGAAGAGAATGCCAACTGGGACTTGAGAGGTAAGACTGGGATGGGAAGGTGACCCCAAAAAGTTGGTTATTGTGGTCACAGGAGCTTAATTCTTCTGGAAGATCCTGGAGGTGTATAGCCCCCCCCCTCAAAAAAAACCAAACAGGCCTGCTCCAGGGTGAGGGAGCTGGAAATATTTATGGACCTTCAGCATCAGATGCACTAGCTTGAGAATGTTCTGGAAATTACCTCACAGAAAGTTCTCCTTCAGGAGGGCTGCAGTCGGGCTGAGAATCTTCATTTTGACAAGCTGCGGGCGAGTGTGGGGACCACACTTTGAGACCCTCTGGGTTAAACCACCAAGCCCCAAGGCTGTTCTGAAAGCACCATTTCAGCAGTTCACGTGTCAGGTCCAAGATGATCAGTGAGTTTGGAAAGGGGAGAGTCAGTCTGAAGTAGGAAAGAACAAATAAAGATGGTAGAAAGGAGAGAAGAAAATCATAATTTTAAATATAAAAACTGCAGCTTCAGGACACAAAACTAGTTTAAAAAAATTGTTTTTGGTGGGCCATTTCTTTTCCTTGCAAATGGTCCATCTTCTGCTCTTCTTTCTCATTTGCAAAATGAGTTTTTCCCCATCAAAGGGTGATGGCTACCACCCCTTCTTGAATGTGTATTTCCTAAGTAAATCCTTCCCCTGCCTCTTAGTGACTAGTCCTGAAAAGTCTTTTTCTGAGATGGGAGTCAGAGATCTTTTCCTACAGGTAGTGTGGGCTTAGGTTCTTCACCTCCACTTCTGGAACCTCCTGGGACCCTGTTTGTCCTCTTTTCTAGCCTCCACACACCCAAGGGCCAGGAGTTGGCCATCTGAATGCCATTCCAGGCTCTAATCTCAGTATTTTCTCCAGACCAGAAATGCCTTTTCTTTAACTGGAAGAAGGATTTATTATTCTTTATTTTATTCAGATGTTCTTTGTATCTAGTATTATCGAGTTTTGTAAATGTTCCATATCTACTTGAAAAGACCCCCCCCCACACTGTAATCATGGAATTGAATTTCTGCCAGATATCAATTTTGTGTATTTAGGGAGAGTAAGAGTTTATTTTCTTAAGTCTTTTAGATAATGATGTTTTAAAATCTCCCCCTACAATTCTGTGTTTTTAATAATGTTTGATTTCGGCATCTTGTTGTCAGTTTCCTTGGTAGCTATAGATTTGTATCTTCATGTCTTCATTATTAGTGGTGCTTGTTACTATTATGTAATGTTCTCTTTATCTTAAAAGCATACTTTTCTTTTTGGCCTGCATTTTGTTCTTCCAACATTAGTATTGTTTTCCTTGCTTACCTTCTGTTCAAGTTTGATTAAAGCTTTATTTTTCTAGCCCAGCAATTTGGTTTTCAGATCTTAAAAGTAATGTACACTCTTTGGAGGAAAATTTGAATGTATCAAAAAGCAAATATAATTGGAAAAAAATAAATACTGAGCAGACTAACCAGAGGCAACTGCTCATTCATTCATGCCCTCACACTCCTTTTAAATGCGCATTTTACATAGCTAAGATCCTATAATATAAACAGTAGAGGTTCTGCTTTTTTTTTCTCTTGCAGTAGGAAGCATAATCATTTCCCTTTTTATTTTTTTTTATTTTTTTCCCCATTAACTTTATTGGTACATTTTAGGTATACAATACAGTTACATTCATCATTGGGATCTTGTACCATT